TGCATCATGGAAAACAGGAGCTCCAGGATGATGAATGCAGCAATCTGTACAATGAATCAAGAATGAATAATTTTGAATTCAAATTAAATGTTATGTTATTATTATTAACTATAAAAGCAAGTAAGTAAGTTCTTCTTCTTGATACACCTTGTAGTCCTGACTTGTTTGATTCTATTAGGCCACCTAGGACCTCTAGTCAAACATGGGTATTCATAGGAAGAATTATACAATTCATTTTTCAAAAATCACTTTTAAACATAGGTGAATAAAGTGAATATAAAGGAAAAATCATGACTTTTTAGAAATAGTGTCATATTCTAGTTATATGTGCCATAAGCAGCCATATACCTCTAGTTATGAGATTGAAGACTTGAAGTCGATTCTCAATGCCAAGTAAAACTATTTTAGCAAATGACAAAATAAAAAGTTCTGAAATCTTCTGATCAATTCCACAATAAAGAATTTCACTGACAAGTCAGTGGAATAGCCATGTGTCTGGCAATTTTGAAAATCTTTCACTCTGGGGAAATTTTCCCATCCTAGGCCTTTATTTTAGAGAGAAAACAAAATTAATTCTCCTCTTCTTCTCCTGCTTCCCAAGTTTTTCCCTGATCCGGTGTTAAGAAGATTTCAGTCTCTTATCAAGACATTCTTCATTTCTTCTCATGTTGTCCAATGTCTATCCTCATCATCAATTTTAATTTCTTCCTCTACTAAATTATTTCACATATAGTGTACCTGCATACTCCTTTTCTCATTATGATTTCCTATTCTCTTTTCTTCTTCTCTTCATCTTCTTTATTTTCTCTTCATCTTACCGGTACTCTTATTCTTCTTCTCCTCCTTAGGTTGCAGAGGTCTGTCCAACTTTGTCTTCAACTAAAATCATGCATCACATCACTAACACCATCAACCAAGTATCAGTATCAGTCTGTGTTGTTGTTAGTGTTTCTAAGTATCAAGTATTATGTTGTCTACCGTTTGTTTTCTTCTTGTCTTCTTTCCGTCTGTCTTCTTCAATCTTTCTTAGATCTACTTACATTCTTTCTTTCTTTCTCTCTTTTTCCCTCTTTTGTTTAGTTCTCTCTCTTTTCCCCCCTTTTGTTTTGTTCTCTCTGTCTCTCTCTTTCTCTTCTTCTCCCAATTTCTTTGATCTTTTTCTTTCTGTCCTTCATTTTTGTAATGCTATAAAATATTGGCATTTAGGTCTAGACCTAGACCCTACTGCTAATCTGCTTTTATTTAGGGTCGATTTATTTTAGATTTACAAGTAGTAGGGAGGCCAATGCCCAAATCTAACTTTTTAATTACTAATTTGTTTATACTAAAACTAAGATTAAAAGAAAGCATTTACTTTCACTAAGAAAATCCACCCATCTGCCGACTCCATAGGTTCCATCAAATAGGAGATATCCAGCTGGTTTGTAGCCATTTCCTTCTACGCCTTTCCGTACGTAAGAGCCTTGAAACAATTATACAGGGCGCGACAAACCCGCTTGCCCGACGTCCCGGGGCAACCAAATTGAGCCGTCGGGCAAGTAAATCAAATTATCACTTGCCCGATTCGGGCAAGTGATACTTTTACAGTAATTTCCTAGTGTCCAAGAACTCTACCATTCACCCGTCAAGTTCTTACCCGTCGTCAAAATCCAGAAGCAAAAAAGCGATCGTTCCGATTTCGAAAAAACTTCACAGACAGCTAGCCAGCTCAGCTAGCTCAGCGCGCATGCAACAGTGACACTTCAAGCCATGAATGCCGCTCCGCCTCCACGCACGGCCGGCCGTGAGCTAGCTAGAGACAGCTAGCGCGATCGTACCAGCTGCGAGCTTATTCGCGCTCTCTCTCTCTAGCTCTGCAGGCCGCACCGACAGGCCTTTGCTATTCTCTGATTGCCGATTGGTTGAATCACGCCAAATATGACGTCATTATTCTAGGGAAATGAACACGTGCGAATCGGAATGGAATAAACAACAGGGATTTTCTAGTAAGTACAAAAAGTCAAATGTTTGATATTTATTCATAATGACTGTTAATGATTGTGAACATATTATTTAAAACTCGCTGCTCATATAAATCAGATGAATGTTTTTGTCTCGTTTTCAATTTATTACTGCGGTCTCAAGATCCGACCGAACGAGTCATTTTGATAATAGTATCGAGACCCCCAGAATATAAGCCGTTGTTGTTTTGTTTTCATGGTTTTAGCGACGTTGTTTAGTCTAGTTTTCGCATACTTATCCGAGATTTATCGTAAAATATCTTCAATATTATTATTTAGTAAGAATTTACAAATTTTGGCATGATATTTATAGCAGTGAATGATGAAATAAAAATGTCCGTACTTTATTTAAAATAGTCGATTACCCATTATTTACATGACGTTTCTTGATGGAAGAGTTGACCCAAATTATTAACAGCTGAAAATTAGCCTACGTTTCCAAATGACAGCGGCTTGCACAGACACACATGTGATGTTGCACCATGGTACATGTGGCTACCATTAATGACATGTTTGTATCATATTTTTTACAACAGGGTCATTATGCTTTTTTACATGACTGAATATTAAAAACTTAAACCTGCTTGAACCATTCTACCTTGCCGAGATTCATGTGAATCTGATTATTTATGGAGAATCAATAAAATGCGTTTTTTAAACCTTCAACCATCCTTTGTTGACCATTTTCTTTGACATATTAGGTTATTATTCAGTACAGTTAAACTGTACATGTATGTGCATTAATTTGCTATCTAAAACACTAACTTATCATTACGAGATAATAAATGCTTTAACCTCGAGTCCTTTTTCGCTTTAAAGTTTTGGGCAAGTGGAAATATTGTTTGGGCAAGTAAATTGAAAACCCACTTGCCCGACAGGGCAAGTGGTGAAAAAAATTCTTGTAGCACCCTGAATTATATTTCATGTCGCAAAGTTACGTTCATAATTAGACAGGCCCGAGGGACAAAGTTCATGATGAAGTTTAAAATTTCGCGCGAAAGTGCAATCCCTCAACAGCGGCTAGCCTTGAATCGGTCGCACACGTACACACCTTCTTCTTCTTAGTTGATCCCTCCACCGACACAGGCAAGCCCCGATGCAGGCTGAAGTCCAGCCATCAATGTGCGAACGATTACATCTTCTACTAATACGAGCCGAAGACGATGGTTCAAAAAAGGAAAGAAATATATATAATTCATTGATATTTACCTTAGATGTGTATTCCAATAATTTGATTTCCTCATGAGTATTCCTTATTATCAACGATCGAGAAGTTACGAGGTCCAATTAAAATCCATCTTGCAGCGAACACAATCATAGCGCACATCCATGCATGCAACGTACGTGTACTAATATTTCTCTCACTCTCTCTCTCTCTCTCTCCCTTTCGCTATACGTAACATACACTCACTAACCATGTATCATACAACACACACCTTCAAATCATGGCTTTCATTTCAATTCTCAATTGGAGTATAGACTGCTCACGTAGACTTTTTTTTTTACTGAAATATCTTTTTTAACACTTCTCATACATTACTGCACGACACTCGTATCTAGTGCTGTGAGAATAAGGTACTAGGGTCTATAAATAAGACTACGCTTTGCGCACGATCTGACCGGAGCTCAGATTATGTCGCAATACCCTTTATTTTTGGCGCGAACAATGACGTCACTGTTCACTGTTTTCCTTCTCATTTTGAGATGGATGTAGCTATAGGGCTCAAACCAACGCAAGATTGACAGAAACATCGTACTCTATCTACTTTTGAATGTTCAGTTTGTAAAAATCTGTATTTAAAAAGATATAATCTTTTTTCTTTATATTTTCTAGTTGTTAGAAGTGGCAATTGTGAACATCTGAAATGTTGATCTCTATCAAAAGTTCTTTACTCAAAACGGATCCCATATTTTTAGGGTCTACCTTCTGCCAATGAGAAGGTTTTTAGTGAGCAAACCTCTACGCCCTCTAGGATTTTCTTAGTCGGTGGTGCGAGTGCGTCAAGGTCGTCTGCAACCACAATTATTGGATTAAAAAACGTCAAAATCTGCAAGATTGTCAACAAATGGTGAAAGACTGTTACAGATCCGTGATTATAGGTATGTTGTGAAATGTATAATTGTATTTTCTTTTCATATTTTCTTCAATTTTTATTTTTACATCATTTTTTTCCCTTTGCTAATTTTTTGAAGTGGGCGACGAGCGCACAAATCGTAGGTGTAGAAGCCTTACGCCCGGGCATTGGCCTCCCTACAAGTAGGTACATATGATTGATGATGAAAAGCTAGTTACCTAGGTCTATCAGACATATATTTAAGACTAAGTACACAACTTTCGCACTAGTCATGCATGCTGGTATGAACACATTAAATGCATGCGCGTCAAAACATGACATGACTCACTCACTGCACTGCCAGACGGCCTGAGCAGCGCCTGGCACTGTGGCAGTAAAGCCCACAGCATCATACCACAACTCACGCCACCCCGCTAGGGAAGGCAGGACGGCGCGGTCAATACCGCTCACATCAACTCGCTTCAAACTGGAGTATTTTCAATCTCACCTGGAACGTCTTCCTCGGGCGAATAAACGCGTCCACATCCCTTGTTGTAACACTGAAGTTTCTCTGGGTTTTCAGCAGACATTATGCTTCTTTTTATTGAAGGTTTATCGAGAAAAAGTACAAAATGTTTCCGTAATCTTAACAGTAAGAAAAGTTTTGAGAGGAAAATTCTAGTACGACAGTTCATTCATTAAGAGTTACCGGAAGTTGCGTGCTTTTAAGGCCTGTGTATAATAGTCTCAAAAATTTAGACACATAAGCAATTTTGTACAATCTTGAGCATTTCATTGATATTATTGTAGTCCTAGACTTAGCACAGTCATATATAATATAAATATATTGGTATTTTATCTTTATTTCCCCCTGATAATATATTTGTGACAGATAAAGAGAATATCTAAGCATTCTTTTGATAATTTATGTCTTAATGTGCCTAATATTTAAGACTACTCAATTCTCTTACTGCCCTCTCTTGTTATAATTATTTTATTTCGCGGGAACTTTTGAGAAATTTTCAATAACATTTTGACCCACTACCTCGATCAAAACACGGTAAGTATTTACTCTATGTGTATGATTTCTGTTTTGAGGGTGATGAATAGTAAGTATTCGTTAATAATTTATATGTTTAAACACTTGTGGGAATTGAATACACATTCTAACTATGATTTTTAAGTGACTTTGACTGAGTGATAGTTACGATGTTTTTTTCGACCTCGGCCAGTACAGTACGCGTACAGTGCAGTACCGGTACAGTCCTGGCATGATGACGGGCCGGGTCAGGTACGTGCAGGCGGCAGTGCAGTCCAACTCCAAGTACTACATGTAGGCCTACATAGTACATGTAGGTCTAGATCTATTCAATTATCGAAAGGCAGGCCTTTCATATGGATATGAATGATCAGTGGCGGGGGGGGGGGGGGGTTGGCCAGAACCCTAGCTACCCCTGGTAAAAAAAAATGGTAACCACAAATGCCTTGAATACGGCTTAACTGAGGTCTAGAATCTACTTTTGTTTGTTACTGTTACTGTTAGCAGCCGGGGGGCCGTTTCTCGAAACCGTCATAACTACAAGATCAACGACATCTCGCCACTGTCACGCAACTTGTCAGCTAAGTGTTTCACGAAGCCGTCTTTGCCAAGATGAGCGACAACTTCCGCGACAAGCGAGTACACTGCTCCGAACCTGTCATACATAGTCATAGATCTATCTTTTTAATTGCTGTAACTGTAAGGCACCATCACAAGTCAGTTTGTTGCCATTCCATGGGTCGCGAAATGGACGATTAGTTTCACTATCATTTTGAGAAAAATATAGACGGGTTCGGTACGTAATTATCTGGGATGCGAAATGCAAATGTACAAAAGTGACAATACAAATTATACAGAAACTTTAGAAAGCTGAATAGACCCTATAAACATTAAATCACAAATCATTAAACTATAACATATAAATAAGAGAGGTAAGAATGTTACACACCGTTTTCTATAGTCGATCCATAGTCTTTTTTTCGGATACCACATACCGTTGGGGCCAAATTCCAAATTATATTTTCAATATCAAATCAATTATATAACGAGTATTTATGAGACTCTAGAATAAAAACTGGCTGAGAAAAGGTATTTTGCCTAAAATTCCTCGTCACAATAAAAAAAAAAGTATGTATTGATAAACTATCACATTACGGTATCCTTCAACTAACTTTTCATTCGACTGTTAAAAAAAAAACACTCACCGGTTTTTCTTCAATTTAAGAATCTTTACAGAAATAAGAAAATCGTTTGGCTATCTACATTTGATAATGACACTATTTATTATTTATTTTAGGAGAATTTATGTGTATATATTTCTTTTTGAACAATTTTAGCCCCAAAACTTGTTTGGGGTTATTCTTGATAAATCAAATGGATCGTGACAAAGACTATGTTCTTGAGCTGCTAGTATCGCGATATATCGATATCATGTCTGTCACATGCTTTGTGAAACGGTTTATCCGCTTCATGACATCTCCGTAGGTCGCCGACAAAGATATGACTGTCATGGAGTTGGTTTCGAGAAACGGCCCCCAGGGCCGGGGGGAGGCACTCCAGCAAAGCATGATAGAGAGTCAAATGCAATGCTAAGAATGCGTATTGACCTCTAGATCTACTAGCACTTCATGCTTGCTGTGAGGCAGGTATTATTAGACCCATACACAAATATACACACCACACAATATATCACATAGACTCTAGATCTACACCAGTAGCATAGATCTAACAAGTTAGATCTACGCAGGATTTTTTCAAGGGGGGGGGGGGTTAAATTTTTTGTAATCGGGCCAAAAAATCGCAACGACTCAGCCAGCCACTGACTAAGCATGGGGGGGGGGGGGGGACACTATTTAAATTTTTTTTTTTTAAAACACCAAAGGGGGGAGTTTTAGGCGGGTTTACTCACATAAAAATACCAAAGGGGGGGTTCAACCCCACAACCCCCCCCCCCCTGCTTTTACTACACAGCCAGGATCGATAGTGATGCTCCTATATGTGTCGGGGGGAGGGGTTGCCGGGTGTCCAGAGTCTACTCATACTCATAGGTTTCTAAATTCTAGTCAAGTGAATTTTTTTTAATACAATTTTATAATTAGACTAGTGCTCACTAAGAAGAAATACAAACAGAAAACAAACTGAGAAGGAGAAGCAAAGGAGAGTACGAGGAGGAGAAGTAGAGTGAAATTGTATTGTATAATTCTTAACATTTTCCACCTTTTTTCTTTGTTGTTTTTTCTAAATTTCTTGGACTTACAGATGAAGGTAGAGACTCCTGAGATTTCATGGCATGGACGCGATCCTGTCTACAGTGCTGACTTTCAACCTGGGAAACGTTCATTATGCAGGATAGCAACTGCCAGTACAGACACAAATGTTTTGGTAAATATAGAAACTCCTTTCAAGAATAGATGGTAGACAGATGTAGGAAACTAGAAATTGTTTGTTGTCTAGCCTTGTCTAGGGCTAGGCTATTTCTCTGTTTCCAACAAGACATTGGCCTGGATCTGATTCCAGTCATAACTTTAATTGTAACACTTTATAGACATTGCAGTGTAAAGAGTGAAGGCAAGTTTGTCGTGCGTAAAGCCATAATGAGATGCAAAGTTGTTGTTTTCCCTGTTCAGAATTTTTGTCATTACAAAAAGTGTCTTTATTCATGTTCATCCAATCCTTAAATATTTCAAATGAAGCATGAATTGCAACTTGCATAGGAAAATGCAGGGTTGTTGCAACTTTTCTTAACTTTTGTTCATAATCTATTTTATTCTCATAATCTCTGTATTTTCCCCATTGATAGGTATGGTATGTGAGTGTTGATAATGATGGCAAGGCACAACCCACCTTCGCTGCTAGTCTCTCCCGCCATACCAAAGCAGTTAATGTGGTCAGGTTCTCACCAGATGGAGAAACCTTAGCATCAGGGGCAGACGGTAAGATAATCAAGAAGTTTCATGATCTCCTTGGAATTTGTTTAGTCATTAACAATTCACATCAGTTCCCTCCTTTTATCTCCTTTGTAGTTTTCTTCTTGTGCTCACGCTTCTTCTCCATCTCCTTTCTTCATTCCTCTCATCCTTGTATTCCACTATTCTATTTATCTTTGTCTATAGTTTCTCTCTCTCTCTCTCTCTCTCTCTCTCTCTCTCTCTCTTTCTCTTTCTCTTTCTATCTCCCTTCCTTTTCCTCTCCTTTCCTTTCCCTGACTCTCTCTTCCTCATTGTTAATCACCTTCTATTCTTCTAAAAATTAGAAACAGACAATTAGAGAGTTTTTAGAGTTAATTGTTTAGTTTCAAACTAGACCCTACTTTTAATTACCGGTAGTCAAATACATATTCTTCTCCTTTTCCCCCTCAATGTAGTGAATGAGATTTAATACAAGAGAATCATTTAAGTAAAATGTTGTTTTTTGCATGTTGTGTTTACTAGATGGGTTGATAATCCTTTGGAAGCTGCAGGAGATTGGTTATGTAGCAGCAGCCTTCGGCAAAGAAGATGAAGATTGTAAGGAGACATGGGCTACACTCAAGACTCTCAGGTGAGATTTGAATGTTCTTAAATGCTTTTTTCATAGATAGATTAATATAGGATGGAACCCTCGATAATTAAGACTCTAGGGTATGCCTATTCAGAATTTATTAATGTCCATTTCACTCCAGTGTTCTGATTTGAAAGGCAAATGTCAGTTCCTGTGTTAGCTTTCGGTTTCATTGAGACTAGCTTGTCCATTTAAGGGAATTCTAAAGACTTTTCTGATAGTTATTTACCAACGTTGTTTGTCTATTTGGATATCCCCTAACCCTTATCCATGGCTGACATAAAGAGGCATCCGTGACAGATGGGCCTTAAAGTCTGAACCCCCCAAATTTAGACAATTTTAAATAGGACTAATGCATATAAACTGTAAACGGGTCAATGTGGACCCCCCTCCAAGTTAGTGAAGCCCTGCTTAATCTTAAACAAAACGTTGAACTGGATTGCAACCAAAGCCATAACCTTTAACATCTTGATTGGTATTGGTGTGCACCTCTATAGGTAGCCTCTCTCATTTTGAGCTCTGTAATTTGTTTCATTTTTCACCAATTTTGGTTGGATTTAGTATTTGTATTTTCAACATTGTGTTTGATATTGGTCAAGGAACAGAGGTAATTAATTTGTAAGGTGTATTTTGGTGTGAATTTGCAGTATTTCTGTTAAGTTTAATGTTTGATGTTCTTGTTCAATTTTACTGTACAGGCATGTGCATTAAGCTTTACTGGTACTTTGCTTGTATACCATTTGAATGTACTGACATTCACAATAGTCTCTTTTGTATGCTCCTTTTATGTAAGCTATTCCTGCTTGTACAATGGATGGAAAGCCATTGAAAGTGTTGTTTTCTATAGGGCTTGTTATTTCTATTCTGTACACTTTGAATCAGCCCTATATAACCAAGGAATGTTTCACTTGTACTGGCTCACACATGAAGAGCCCCCACTGTAAACATCTCAAATATTGTAGTCAACCTATACTATACTACTGTAATTCGACAGCTACATTTCGATGTCTCCTTAATTCTGGAGATATCCAGCCCAATCCTGGTCCAGTGAATCGCACTGAGAATGTTTCCAATATTGGCCATATCAACTCACCTCCTTATTCAGCTGATTGTACAGCTTTACATATTTCATACAACTTGAATGATCTCCATCAGATTAATAACCAGCCACTTAATTTACTACCCATGAATGTTTGGAGCAGGATCTGCGATCTTGGCATCGGTCGCTGACGTCGAACTCATCGCGGACGTGGGCGGCGTACGATACAAGGCCGGATTTCCCTCCACCAATGTCGGTATCATCCAATAGCCTCAAACTTGGCCTTTGGAATGCACGTTCCATGACCAATAAAACACACGCAATTACTGATTTGATTGTTGAACATGATCTAGATGTTCTAGTCATCACCGAGTCGTGGCTCTCTGGAGACAGTAAGAGGGATGGTCTCATATTAGCTGATCTAAGATCTGGTTTGCCTAATTATGATTTCACCCATCGACCCCGGTTATCTTCCAAGGGCGGTGGGATTTTGCTTCTCTATAGATCCACGGCTCGCTGTACCTTGAACAACAACTATGATTTTGCATCTTTTGAATTACTGGATGTCACACTCAATCTGACACCTTCATCTGCTGTAAGGTTGTACTGTATTTATCGACCACCCCCGTCTGCCAATAATAATCTCTCCAACGGCACATTCTTGGATGAATTTCCAACTCTCCTTGAAGGTGCTGTTGTAGATGATCATGTTCCTCTATTATTGGGTGATTTCAACATACATGTTGATGATCCCAATGATAATTTTGCAAAATCTGTTATGACATGTGTTGATTCGTTAGGGTTCAAGCAACATGTTCGTGAACCAACCCATCGCGCAGGTCACACTCTAGATTTGATTTTCACAAGGAATTCGGATGATGTCTGCAACGTGAACTCGCTATCTTCCATGCCTTCCGACCATTGTGCACTTGTCACCACTGTCAATATCGCAAGGCCGAAGAATCCCAAGAAAGAGGTTTCCTTCAGGAAATATCGCAGCATTGACAAGGACTCTCTACGCAACTCTATTGACACAATGTTCCATTCACTTCCTGATCTATCTTGTCCATCTGCTTCCGCGGAGCATTACAACTCATCTTTGCGGACGTTGATTGATGAGCACGCTCCAATCCAGGTCAAGACTGTATCAATCAGACCTGATGCGCCATGGTTTACCGATGATATCCAGGAAGCCAAGAGGCGAAGGCGTCGTGCGGAACGTCGTTCGATCAAGTCTGGACTTTTTGTTGATAGAGAGCTGTACCGCCGTGAATGCGAGTCATATTATGAGTGCATCTTCAATGCGAAGTCAGCGTATCTCAAAGATCTCATCAAGAATGCTGACACTAAAGAACTGTTTCGTCTTGTGAAGACACTCTCAACGCCCACTCAATCTTCACCTCTTCCAGATCATTCTTCTGATAGTGAACTCGCCAACAGATTTGCTACATTCTTCACGGAAAAAGTCGCCAAAGTTGTATCCTCTTTCCCTAATGTAGTACCAGCACCAGCTTCAAGATCTTTTGCTCCAGGCCCTCGTCATGAACTCTCTGATTTCTGCCTTGTATCCCTCTCACAAGTCAGGAAGCTCATCACTTCACTTCCTTCTAAACACTGTAAGCTAGATCCGATTCCTACCTGGCTTCTAAAGGAAGTCCTCGATGAACTCCTTCCTCACATAACCAAACTGTTCAATCTCTCGTTATCATCCGGAATAGTTCCAGAGTCTTTTAAGACTTCTCTGCTTCTTCCCCTCCTAAAGAAGCCGAGTCTCGACACGAATGGACTTAAGAACTACAGGCCCATCGCAAACCTGCCATTCCTTGGGAAGGTTTTGGAACGTATTGTGTCACTACAGCTGAAAGCCCACATTGACAATCTCGGTTTGTTTCCAATCCACCAATCTGCCTATCGGAATCATCATTCTACTGAGACTGCAACTGTCAAGGTCCTAAATGACCTACTTCTAGCTGTAGATAAGGGTAATGAAGCTGTCCTCATCTTGCTTGATTACACTGCCGCATTTGACACTATCAACCACGACCTGTTACTCCATCGCTTAGAGAACGACTTCTCCATCACCGGCACCGTACTTCAATGGATTCGCTCCTATCTCATGCACCGAACTCAGAAGGTGATCATCAATGACACCAACTCGGAATCATTTCCCCTCATCTGCGGCGTTCCTCAGGGTTCCGTGGTCGGCCCCCTCCTGTTTATTCTTTACACCAGCCCTCTCTCAAATGTTATTAACCTTCATCAGAATATTCAACACACTATGTATGCAGACGACACCCAGATTTATGTAACTCTTCACCCAAACAGCAGGACAGTAGCCGCGAACAAACTCACCAGTTGCCTCAATGAAATCAAAACCTGGTCTTTTCAAAACTGTCTCTGCCTTAATGATTCAAAATCTGAAATGATTCATATTACTTCTAAATTTCGGAACTCAGACCCCTTTCCTGATCTTGTTATGAGTGATGGCTCTCTCAGTTGTTGTGCTTCTGTGCGTGACCTTGGTTTAAATATTGACAGCAATCTTACTTTCAAACAACACATTAGTAATATTTGTAAGTCTGCTTCCTTTGGTATATATAAGATCAGTAGAATCAGGAGGCTACTTGACCGACCCACAACTTCAAAATTAGTCCATGCTTTTGTCTCGACCCATATCGATTACTGTAATTCTTCTCTTTCTGGCCTCCCTCAGTCACATCTAGTCCCACTTCAAAGGGTACAGAATAGCGCTGCTCGGCTTGTGACTCTCTCGCGTAAATCAGAGCACATAACTCCAATATTGAACTCACTACATTGGCTTAAAATTCACCACCGCATATCCTTCAAAATTCTTCTCCTGTGCTACAAAGCTATCAATGGCTTAGCCCCCTCTTACCTTTCCGATCTCATATCCTTACGTTCCCGTACGTCGTCACGAACACTTCGTTCATCTTCCACATTACTGTTAACACCTGGACCCCGCACTAACACCCGGTATGGTGACCGCGCCTTTTCAGTTATTGCCCCCGCTCTCTGGAACAAACTGCCCGCCTTTATTCACTGCGCCCCCTCTGTATCTCAATTCAAATCTCTACTCAAAACCTATCTTTTCAAATTTTAAATTGCAGTTGTGCGTCGGTCAATGGAGGTGCGCACCATATTTGTCTTTATTTAGTTGATTGCCACTGTTTTTCTTACCTTATCTATGTTACTTTTGTATTTTTGCTTTTTCTTCTAATTTAATTCTACGGGTTATAGTCTTCTCTTAATCAGAACACTGTGCGCTTAGAAACATCAGTATTAAGCGCCTAATAAATGTTATGTATTATTATTATTATTTATCTTTGGCAAATGAAAGCCCAGTGCAAATATTGAATCAGACTGAGATTGTAAGTTATTATCTGTCTTTTACAGGGGTCATCTTGAGGATGTTTATGATATCTCCTGGTCATCTGATGGATCTAGAATGATCTCAGGTTCGGTGGATAACAGTGCTATCATCTGGGATACACAGAAAGGTAAGAAGTACATGCAATCCTCCCACCTTCTGATTGTAAGAACAGACTTACATTGCTCTGTCCTCATGTCCTTGTATTGTATTGTATTGTATTGCTTTTGACAAGAACATCTTTGAAATGTCTTTTTGAAATCTTGTTATTAGGCCAATTTTAAAAGCCACATGGGATGGAGGGGGGGGGGGGGAGAATGGAGAGTAAACATGTACTTGCAAGTCTTTGACAAAATACTCCTTTATTCTTGTAGCATATAAAACACCGCTAAACTTTAGTACTACCTCTTTCTACAGTACATTGATTTCTATGTTGACTGCTTGGATTAGTTATTTATAAACAGGAAAAAACAATAAATTGAATTTTCATCAATTCACAATAAAAAAGGTTATTTTACCTGTGAGACTTTCGTTGCTGCAGGCATCATCAGACTGACATTTTATTGCCGTTAGATGAGGTAGTACGACAGTGGATTGTGATGTAATGAAAATTTAATTTATGGAATAACTACCGATCAGATGAACGTCTTCAAGTCGAAATTCAAGTTGCGTATTCTTGCCACATATATATATGACTTCCCTGATGCATACAATTACCATATAGATTATGTCGTTCTGTATTATTGTTGTGTTTTAGTTTGTAATGTCCTGTATACGTCTTGCATTGTTTTATTGTGAATTTTAATGTTTTGTATTTTCCACATTTGTCATTTATGTTATGGGTCCACCCACTTCTCTCAAGCCATCGGCTTTAATCGGGTGATAATGATCCAGTACACTTCTCAATGTATATATTGTATGTGATTTTTTTTATGAAATAATAAATTGAATTGAATTGAATTGAATTGAAGGATCTAAGGAAAAAAAAACGCTTTGTAAAGGACAGTCGTTCTTATTATTGAATTCTTTTTGTCTATCTTTCAGGAGAGAAGCTGTTTCTTCTGAAGGATCACAGGAGTTTTGTTCAAGGAGTAGCTTGGGATCCCAAGGACAGATTCTGTGCCACCATCAGCTGTGATAGGTATATATATATATATACAGAAGTATTTTACCCTAATTATGTCAGAGCTTAAGAGAGATTGGGGTTTCTACATTAATTTAGATATATCGAGGGTTCAGTGACACAAAGACGTAACTCCACATTTTTGCCAAAATGAGTATTTGATATCAAAATGTTCAGAAAAATGTGCGCTTTCCAGGAAACAAAGACTTAACTCCAACCAACACCCCATTGAAGTCAATGGCTAGTGAAACATAGACTTAACTCCTTAAGGCCCAAGTGCTCAGTGACACATAAACCACTTTTTTCTCAAACTGGCAAAAAGGGAGATACGTCCTTGTGTCGCTGACCCATCGATATGTTGTTTATAAATGTTCTTTAGCCTAGGTATAAATGGTGTTAGTGTCATTTTGAGATAAAGGCCAGCATGTAGATTGCAGTGAATATGATTACCAATTAAGATTCAATAACAGAGGTCTAATGAGCATATGTCATAGAGCAACCGTTACCTGCCAATGAAATACAGGAGAAGCATGTAATATCATACACTTAATTAAGGAATATGCTAAACGACATTTTGGCGTGGGTTCGATCCCACCGCTGCCACCAGGCAATTAGAAGAGGAGATGTCAGTCAGTCAAGCAAACTGTAAAGCATTTTGTTAAACACACATCAAAGAACCTGAGAGGTCAAGCGCTACCCAAGACAGAGCTGAACATAGCCGCACAATTAATAGTAAACGACAATTAACAAGTAGATGCCATTAGGTGATGCTAAACCAAGCAACTACAAATAACATAATGGTGAAGCAAGGTTCTCTTAGATTTTAGGAAGTGTCACCTGCACCAATAATTTGGTATTATGATATTGATCATTTAGATAATCTACCCATGCATTAAAACACAGATCAGTATCTATGCATTTATTGTTTGGAACAATGTTTATAAATATGTAGCTGATTGGTAATACTGATATTGTTTACTTGAATTCCTTTCTGAAACCACAGATCAATGAGAGTGTATAATCTGAGCAACAATCGATGCATTCATCATGTCAACAAGCTGACCTTGGCAGCAGCCGGTAATAATGGAGAGGTTAGTAGCCAGAGGGAACAAAATCTTTCTACAAGAAAATAGTCCTATTGTCTTTTGTTTTTTAAACTTGTTCAGTTCTGTTACTTGCAGTTGCAATGAATCTATGCCTAAGGGCCCTGGATCTAAGTGTAGTTTGGGACAACATAAACATTTGCAGCGTATATGATTAGAAATGGGACAGGAAACCTTTAAATATGATAGAATTAAGGCCTTATTTTCTTTAGACCAGAAAGAAGTTAATCGAGCACCACGACTGAAGGAGGAAAAAATGGGTGTATTCTTGGTATGCTTGGCATGATAGATTGAATGACATCTTAACCTATTTCCTATTGGAATGGGAGGATTCATTATAGTCAACAATTTAACTGGAAAAGGAACCAAAGATGTCTTTGAAGATGAAAGAAAATATTTTAAAGCCCATCTGTACTAGTTTGGCTGAGGGATTAGACCACCCAGGAAGGTCACTTACAGGTGGCTATCTCATCAACTCAGCTCTCAATTAACATGAGAAAAAGAGGATCATGGGGGACCAATGGTCACCGATTAGGCATTGTTTTCTATATAGAGGGAGCAAGTAGCTACAAGTAGTACAATGGGCCTTTAAAGGTAATTAGGAATCATACATTTTTTTTTCTTCCTTCACTTGATTTGTTGTTAGGGTGTGACGAAGCAGTATCGTATGTTCCATGATGACACGATGAAGTCCTTCTTCAGACGGCTCGCGTTCAGTCCTGATGGTGAGCTGCTCATTGTCCCTGCTGGTATCCTGGAGATAGGAGACAGTGTACTCAACACAACATATGTATTCTCTACTTCATCCTTCTCAAAGTAAGGCAGTGTTTTGTTCTTTTGTTACTGCTTTGATGTTTTGATGTAACATTAATTTATTTTGATATATTTTTTCCCATTTGCTATGTTTTTTAATGCTCTTTTATATGATTGTATGTTTGATGTAAACTCACATTTTTAGGCTTAGGAATTTTTGACAAGATTGAATAAAACTTAAATTGAATTGAATATTCATTAGCGAATAACAAAGACTAGGGCTAAATGATATTCGCCTACAAATGTATTTTAGAAGTTCCTAAGTGAACGAATCCATTTTTCATTGGACATGACAGCAAAGTCCGGTTTAATGTTAAAAAGCCACCCTTGACAATGATATTTTGTTTCTCTCTTGTACTCTCAGATGTGAATTTTGATAAATAAATAATAATAATATGGTTATTTATATAGCGCCGGTACCCACCAGGTTCTGACGCTCATGGCGCTTTACACATACATGATGTGAATCTAATTGGTGAAATTCATTGTTTCTAAAGTGAAAATGCTTTTTGCTGAGGAGTCACCATCTTATTTCTAAAGGATAGTTGATTTCTATGAATTCTAGTCTATAGATTTACAATGGTCTGAAATGCCATGTAGATGCTCTACCAACCCCTTGTAAATATAATCCATCCCCCTTCTGCTGGACAATTAGCATCCAGACATCACAATTACCAGTGCACAATGACAATTATCACTTGGCAACATCCATACAACTTCCCCAGAACAATTAATCTGTAGGACAGCCACCACTCAGTTCCCGACTAGACAATGTCCACTTGAATGATTACCCTTTGAACAACCTCTCAATTTGAAAAATGACCATGATCCTAGATAGGCCCTTGGGAGTTATCACAGGATGGTATCATCATGGTGTGTTGGCTCAGTCAGTAGAGCGTTCGCCTCGCAACCGGGAGGTCGTGGGTTCGAACCCCGGCCGCGTCATACCAAAAGACATTAAAAGACTGGAGTTGCTGCTACCTTGTTTGGCGTTCAACAATAAGGGATAGAGCAACGTCGATCTGGCATTGCTCAGTGGCTGCCGGGTTCACGATCAATTGGGCAAAAAGAATTTCCATTTTCGGTTTAATAAAATTTGGAGTGGACTTTAAAAAATTATTATTATTAGTTGTAGCTATGGAGATGCATAATTCTGGTATTCAAATATTAATTAGTGAAATCTTTCCATTTCTCTAGGCCTGTACTACACTTGCCATGTCCCACCAAGGCCACCATAGCTGTTAAGTGTTGCCCAGTGTTGTTTGAGTTCAGACAGGAATCAAGCGACGCGGATTCTACCACAGCAACGCCGGAAAAGAAATCAGAGAGTACACAGCAGAAAGCTGAGCAAAAAGATGGTAAGATTTGACAAAAAGTGGATCATTTCATTAAGATTCAAGATTCGAGATATTTTATTTAACCGTAAAGCATACACAAAATAATACAAAATACAGTATGGAATATGGAAAGGACTGAAAGAAAAGCACATTTTGTGAGGAGGAATGGCCCTGAAAGAGAGAGAGAAAAACAAGAAAACAAAACAAAATGTATTGCACTTCTCTGGCCTTGTGTATGTGTGATTACAACATGCAAATTATTATTATTATTATTATTTATTTGGCATTTCAAACGTACAATACAAGGTAAAATAGAATGGCACATAGGATACAAGCTATGAAAGAATAAAATTGGCTTCCCCTGCTGCACCTCCCGAAGTTGCCGGGAAGAAAAAAAGGAATGTAAAATTCCTATAACCTGTAAGTCTTTTCTTCCGACTCCAGGAGATGCATCAGGTGATGCCTAAAATATTATACATAATTATAATTTAAAAAAATATAATATAATATAAAAAAAACTTATTGATGACAATGCATAAACTTTAGCTTAAGCTCGATAAATTGCAATATGTTATTTCAGGTGTCACTGGCATGTCTGTTAAGTGAAGCAAAAAAGAAAAGTAAATAGCAGATATTTGAATGGAATTATAGTTATTATGTTGCACTTAAAAAAAAAATTGGAGAATAAAATTAAGCGGTCAAATTGAGATGTGCGATACAATCAATTATAATGAGGGAAATACAAATCAATCTCCTAATATTCAAACTATATATTCAATCAAAATTATATCCAAACATCAACTGTTGATGTTTGTAACATGTGTTCATAGTTTATTCAAAGTAAGATTTTAGTTGATTAAGAAAAGAGGGTAGTGAGACAAGGACAGCCGCATCCCTGAGTGAGAAGGGTAGGTTATTCCAAATTCTTGGGAATCTTCGGGTTGAGAACAGGAATAAGACCTGGGTTCTTGATGGGAGATGAACGAACGTAAGTTGATCAAGGCGCCTACAATTGATTTGTAGATTATCCGAAATTGATTCACATCTGATGTTTCCAGATAAGCACTTCATTATGTATGCACATAGAGCATACACTACGACCATGACGAACAAAGAAAGCGGACAAAATATACAGTTCCTCAGGTAGACAAAGGAACATCCCTTCACTGCTATTATGTAAAAAGGTGAATATGCATGTGACACCTGTTCTACACATTTTTACATAATAGCAGTGAAGGGATGTCCCTTTGTCTACCTGAGGAACTGTATATTTTGTCCGCTTTCTTTGTCACTCATGTTCATAGTGATAATCCCTTCGGGACTGGAGTGAGGTCCAGTGGCGCCGAGAGAGGCGCTCCTCATACGGCATATCGCATCTCCTTTGGTGGAGTGCAACTCTTGTAGCAGTTCGCTTTATCTGTTCGAGTTTGTGTTCTTGTGCAGCAGTATGCGGATGCCACGCAGGAATACCGTATTCCAAAATGGGAAGTACCAATGATATGTACAAGCAAAATATTGCCTGCGTTGAGGCCCCACAGGTAATGGTGCGAATGAACCCAAGAAGTCGATTGGCACGAGATACGATCAAGTCAACGTGTAGATTCCATCGGAGATTAGATGATATGGTCACCCCAAGGTACTTGTAGGGACACTGATTTTCCGCGATCACGGAAAACGGACGGAATTCACGGAATTGACCATTTGAAACGGAAAATGCAATTTCGAAAGGAAAATCGCGGAAAACCCCTTTTACCTCAAAACTTTTCATTTTTCAAGAAGAAAATCGTAAAACTTACACTATTTTTGTGACTCGTTATGCAGTGAAAATATATTGGGCCTCAAATCATGGTTAATAATTCCGAATATTCAGCGATATTCGTCAGATTCTTAGGAGACCGGGCGCTGCCATTTTGTTTCGCTGGACCAATAGAGATCGTGACACAACACACGGTACAAATAACAGCAAAACGATCCTATTATGCCAGCTAGGCGACTAGTATTACGTAGACGTAATACTAGGCACACACACGCCAGCAGCGGGCGCTACGTGCGGCGAGATTGTACACACGCTGTTGTACAGTTCGAAAAAGGGGCTGGCATGTGCGCCTAAAATCGATCGATCGCGGACATGACAGCCAAGACTGAAATGTTTTCGTTGACGTCGGTACTCATCCTTTCCGTCAGGAATATGTCGTGTTCTGACACATTCCGCTGACTTTAGTCTGCTTTTCTAAGTTCGAATTTGAAGTTGGTAAATCTAAACATTTGATAATTTTTTCGTAGGTCTAGCCTAGACTCTAGGGCCTGTAGGGGTCTATATTTTCACTAGTATTTTGCATCAAGTTTATCCAGTCCCGTCCGTATGTTTTTGAGTGGTTATCAGTGGCTTGTCAAAGGTGGCGGCTTTAATAGAACATTTGTACCCTACAAGTTCATGTTTTAATGAAAATCTTATGTAAACGGAATTTTAGTTTTTTCATGTGTACAAAGTCTATGGCAAAACAGAATTTCCGTTTTTCAGCCCATATCTGAAACGGAATTCCAGATTTTCTGAAACGGAAAAGGCCATTTTTTAAAACGGAAAATCAGTGTCCCTATACTTGTATGATGATGTCGGTGCCAAAGGTGCATCATGTAGAGTGTAGTCTGGGTATTGGTCAGGTTTTCTCTTTTGAGTAATGTGCATCACCTTTGTCTTGGTTACATTCAGTGTCATTTGATTTGATGAGCACCAGTCATGAACCCGGTCTAGGTCTGTCTGTAGAACTGCCTCCTCACAGGATGAGTGTATTGTTCTGTACAGAAGGATGTTATCTGCAAAGATGACCACGTTGGATTGTGGTAGCACCAGAGGTTGACTGTACAGAGATCTTCTCACTCGGCTTATCTCATTAACCAGAAGCCTCTCGATGTGATCTCCTCACTCTGCTGATCTCATTTACCAGAAGTCTCTCGATGTGATCTCCTCACTCTGCTGATCTCATTAACCAGAAGCCTCTCGATGTGATCTCCTCACTCTGCTGATCTCATTTACCAGAAGCCTCTCGATGTGATCTCCTCACTCTGCTGATCTCATTAACCAGAAGCCTCTCGATGTGATCTCCTCACTCTGCTGATCTCATTAACCAGAAGCCTCTCGACGTGATCTCTTCACTCGGCTTATCTCATTAACCAGAAGCCTCTCGATGTGATTAGATCTAGGCCTACTTGCAGCTAGTATTTCAATTCAATTCAACATAATTCAAATGAACATTTATTTTCTTCCAAACAATACAATTTATAAGTAGGAACATAAATATAATTAAAGAACTTGTATTACAAGGAAGAAGGCGCGAAACCCGAAAAGCATAGCTTGTAGTGGGTACGCCCGAATACATAAATACAATTATACATTATAAATGGGAGAAAGGAAGAAAGGAAGAAAGGGATAGGCAAAGAGGAGAGGAGGATAGAGAGCTTGGAGAAAGAGAAAAGAAGAGAGGAAAAGAAGAGGACTGCAACATAGTGTCAATGGAGTGTATGGCATGCATAAACAACATAATGGCAAGATATAGGTGAAGAGTGTAGTGTTGAAATATTTGACATTATATACATATATATTTACTTTGTTACAAGTACATGCATTTATACAATTTAGGCCTATACATAAACATTTAAACATTTCATTTATTTTCCATTAAAATTCAAAATAAAATACATAACAAATTAACAGCAAAATCGGAAGGACCCCATACATACATGTATGTTTACATAATTATACACATGAATACAACACATATAATATACTTATACATCCATATACATCCCTTATACAATATTAATATACACTCATCAACCTAATTGGGTAAAGGGATAATACTTATGCATTGTAATTTAAAATGATACATTTTTTAAGCTTCCAAGAGAAGCTTAACAGAGATACAGATTTCCTCATAGGTTCAGGTAAATCGTTCCAAAACTTAGGACCGGTGAAACGGATATTATTACGTTTATGGTGTAGGAATAGATTTCTTCAGATGATCTGGTACCATACTTATGTATATCTGAAACACGTTGGAATTGGCCGCAGAAATGAGAAGGTAGTTGTGCGTTTAGACATTTATATAGTAATGTACATTGTTGAAGTTTATTTATATCTTCAAAACGAAGCAACTTAAGAGATTTAAATAAAGGATCGCTACTGGATCGTGGGTGAGAAACTGAATCTTGAATATGATACGTAAAACTTTATTTTGCTGTGCACAGAGCTTTTTTAGACTCGTTCGATATGTATTTGCCCATATAATATTACAATAGGATAGGGATGGGAGAATCAATGAACAATATAAAGTAGGTAATATCGTTTTCGGTAAAAAAATACTTAGGCGGTAAATAACACCTGGGATAGGCTTAATGGCAATGCTTCTGCCTTATTAACAAGTTCAGCCAAATATGCGCTTGTTGGCCTCTCTGCCATTAGGGGAGATTCAATCCAGTGGAACATTTTGTTATAGTTTGCTGTCAGTGTCAGTCCGGTCTGGATACGTACTGTGATTATATTACATAATCATTTCCTTTGTTAAGATGAACATGAACATTCAAGATACTTGATTAAAGAATATGAAGATGAAACTAATCTTTCCTCATGATACCATAAACAAGAATATAATGTTTATTTTCCCCTGTAGAACCAATGGAAACCGATGCTGCGGCTCCAAACACATCTCCTGAGTCCAAGGAAGAAGGGCAAGAGAAGTCAGATTCTAGTAAAGAGGTCCAAGATAAATCAGCTAGCTCCCCCTCAAAGCCTGAGACCAAGCCTGAGACCAAGGACCAAGCTACACAGCTATTTGAGTAAGAACCAATATATATTTCATCCTCTAAAAATGTACTCAAATATAAATATTTAGTATGTTAACAGTTTTAAAAATATCTTTGATCAGATTTGCAGTTTGTATAATTTGATCTCAAAGGCATATGTTAGATATCTGCTTTCATGCAATTTCCAATTTTAACACTAACTTACCAGTATCTTTTAATTGGACTACTTGCTTTCATCTTTTTAATCAGTGGAAAATTGCATAGTGCAATAGTTGTCTGCATTAGTGCTATTTTGCTCTATTCATCTATGTTAGATCTATTGATATGTGTTACAATTTGTTAACTTTTATCTCATTGTACAGGAGCTGATGTTACAAATCTTGTACAAACTTCCAAAGTATATAATTCTATCTATAATGATACAAAGAATGTTTAATCTATTTGCTTGTCTATTCTCATCAGCTTGCCTTACCGTATGGTGTTTGCCGTAGCAACTGAAGACTCTCTGCTCCTGTATGACACCCAGCAGAGCATTCCATTTGGTCTCATCTCAAACATCCACTACCATCAGCTTAGTGATGTCACATGGTAAGTGATACGTAGGACTGTCCATATTATCAAGAAAGGGCACAACTGTAAAGCCTTAAAAAAAAAGAAGTTGTATTGCCCTTTAGGTGCCAAAACATGGATCGGTCGGTCGAAAATCTTTCTCCTTTTTTTTTTTTTTTTTTCTTTTTTCTCCCTCTTTGGGCTGATATTTATTTATCTAAAAAACAGAAAAATAAACAAACTTTTTTAAAAGCTGATCGTATATTTCAAGATTTTGGGGTCGGTCGCAAAGGGCAATACAACATCTTTTTATTTTTAGGCCTAACTTGGAAATATTTCTATTTTTAGGGGGGAAATTATGGACAGGAATGTCTCGTTTAAAGTTATTCTGAAAGGCATGTTGTGCCTAATATTGAAAATTAGCATCAGTCATTAGCACATCCTTCAGTGTGCATGTACTTGTTTCCTGCTACAAGGTGGAAATCATTTGCTTTTATTTAGCCATTCTAGGGCAGAGTGTACAGTGTATTTGAATTCATTTCTCAGGACAGCCGAATAATCATAATGTTCCTTCAGGGGGTGTTTCACAAAGATCCTAAGTTGAATTTATCTCTAAGTTGGACTTAACAATTATGGAAAGCCGTTAGCATCATTGAAAATATTTTGTAAAAGTTATTTTTAAAGGCATAAAATGTTGATTCAAATCATTCATATTGTGTATTATCAAGGGGATTTCATGTTCTTGATGTGGAATTTATGAAAAGACTAAAATACTTGAATTTTTGCTTTTGAACATATTTTATTTTAAGGTTACAAATGGCTCTCCATAATATTTAAGTCCAACTTAGAGTTAAGTTTGACTTGGGATCTTTGTGAAACACCCCCCTGGAATGAAGCTGTCATGTTCTGTGTTTGATCATATACTTGACAGGTCATCTGATGGCAGGATATTGGCCGTCTCATCGACGGATGGCTACTGCTCCTTTGTGACCTTTGAAGCTGGTGAACTGGGCGTTCCCTACGTCTCTCAACCTGTCCCTACCTCTGCACCTAACCCTGCTGCACCTAGCGCTACCAAGTCTTCCCCCTCACCCACTCCTGCAGTGTCTATTCAGACATTGGCCAATCAGAATGCAGGGATTTCAAAATCACCCAATCAAAATACAGGAATTTCAAAATCGCCCAATCAGCAGTCTGTATCTACTGGTGTAGCAGCAGGTGGTCCAGCCTCTATAACTGTCAAGCCTGTTGGAGGAAATAGAGTGAAGGAAGCTAAGAGGATCACCCCTGTCATGATATCAGGACCACCAGGGTAAGTTGAAAACAAAAAGCAAGACTTTGGCTCTGAGATGCCCCCCCCCCCCAAAAAAAAACAAACAACAACAACAACAGCAGCCATGCTGTTTAAGCCTCGGTCACAAATGCCATTACGAACTGCTATGAACGCCGTACCAACGATTTTCAGACAATGGAAATTTGGGAAGACAATGGAAAACGGAGAATAGTACGAAATTATCACTCGTACGAACCTTTGTGACCGTAGCATTAGATAATGATAAAGAGGATTGATTTCAATTAAATAGAGTGTATCTACTAGTATGTCATTCTGTGATGATCTTAATAGAATTAACTCATATGAAGCCAAGGATATTGCTACATTATTGTTTATAAGATTCCCAAGGTGTGAGACTATAAAGGATTCATAATGCCGTTGCCTTGTAAAGGACTGTAGCACATTTTGTTTACCATCGGTATTATGAGGCTTCCAAGACCAGTCACCTATACATGTAGTCCCTCACACATCAAAGAGAGTAAGCTCCCTCCCCCGCATCCACATGGGTAATTCCATAAATTAGGGACCCACTTTGTGACATGTGTGGTGTCCCTGTTACATAAGGAACCCACACATATTTGTGGCTCTGAGTAAAGACTTAAATAGTTGTGAGATTAAAGGTAAAGACTAGTTATGGTCATGCGATTGCATTGTGAAAGAAACGTTGTGGAATCGATCAGAAAAGGTTGATCATCTAGCATCTAGCATCTGCAAGGTTCTGGAATCATCAAAATGATAAGAAATTTGGCCCATTCTTCGTAAAGTTACAAGCACTATACACAGAAAGATGTATATGGGACTACCCTATATCTCTCACAGACCATGAGAGAAACAAATTTACCAACTATATGAATTAGTAGGCGGTTTCCCGGCAAATTTTTTATCATCATGTATTATTCAAAACATATTCTTTCACATGATTGGTAATGAGAGCTTCCATTTCATTTTTTGAAACTGGGGCGTTTCCAATACTGGTCTTTACCTTTAAATAGAGTGAGATTGTAAAGTGATTTCCAAGCATAATATTGCATCCTCATACCTAGAATCACTTAATAACCATACTCAATTTATGGAATTACCCACATCCTCATGACATACAATCATTATTCAATGGATTTATATCAGAAAATCACCCTCCTATGCTTCTAGCCCCTTCATAGCCTTCAACAAGAAATCCTTGCCATTCAAGTATTCAGTATTTAATCGTTGCAATCAGTATTTTAAAATGTTGATATTTTGTAAATTTGCTAATTCAGATCAGGGCCAGCGCCAAGGAGAATCCAGCTGACTACATTGTCCTCGCCACCGTCCAATCAACCCACAAACTCTTCATCCTCACCATCCTCCTCCTCCTCCTCCTCTACACATCAAACATCCAAAGAAGATCATGCATCATCATCATCATCTAGTAGCATCCAGACCACATCCACACCTAGTAACCAGACCACAGCCACACCTAGTAACCAGAGTCCATCTCAGAACGGTGGTTCTCCTGTAACCGCCAAAGACACGGTACCCAATGAAGCCATCGAAGAAGAAGAAGAGGAAGATGATAATGAGAATGAAGACGTGATTGACTTGACGGCGGAGAGTGATAGCGATGAAGCTGATGAGATGGAGGTGAAAGAGGAGGACATTCAGGTGGTTCCTATGAAGAAGGTTCAGATGCCTCAAAAGCCTGTGGCTCCTGCTCCTAGGAGGATGACGACCATCAAGCTTCTCAGTGATTGATATACCGGGAGGAATGACGACGTCGAGAATGAGTTCCAGTGAACTCTGATCCCTGTAATGAAGTGACTTTATATACAGTCAAACCTGCTTCGGTGACCACCTGTCTACAAGGACCACTTTTTGTGTTTCTCTTAGGCGGTCGCTATAGACAGCTTTGACTGTATAAGACTTTTTGTAGACCTACTAGAGAGAACCATAAGGCCAGAACTCCTTCTTGGATCGCAGTAGTTCTGTACCAGAACAGTCTTGAGCCTGTATTTATAAGGTTGATTGAAGGATCACTGTGCCATTGATGTACATCATGTTAATTGTAACATCTGTCAAACTTCTTAGAAGAATTGAAAGATCTGTTTCACAAATTTGGAGGTCCATGGAACCATATTTATAAATCACTGTCGAAATTTTTGTTTACAACAGTTGCTATATGAAATCAATGAACACAAACTGAAATCTCTTCATGTGAAGTTGGTTGGTTAACTAGTGCTTTATATGCCATGAAGCCATGAAGCCATGATGCCATGAAACTACATGTTATTCTCTGAAACTTTGGTAAAGATCTTTAGTACTTGGCATCTCATTCAAAGACAGAGTAAGTGCTGATGTGTATAAGGATATTAGAAGATACAAGTAAGACAACCACACACCAAAAAGCATGTTCAGATATGACACGGTGAACCATCAGAAAAAAGCCACTCTTTTCTTCTTCTTCTTCAGTTGCAGTACAGGCCACCGTCAGGTGTATTGTCGCACTGTTGATGAATGGCAATTGCGCACGTCAAAGGTCTTGCGCATATTCACTAAGCTCTGTGTGATAATACACAGAAGTATGAAGCATATTATAGTTCATGTCATCAACAGAAAACAATGTCGCTGTTATGCCGAGTCATATCTGATCGAGACCTAAGGAAGGCCTTTTTTTTTACTGTATATACGTGTATAATTATAGTCAAAATGCCTGTTATAATTTCATATATCTATGAAGTGAATGCTCTTTCTAGTTTCGACCTTGTTGGATTCTGTGGGACTTTCACATCCTTACCTTAGTTTCTAGATCAAAAAAGTGCTTCTGTTTCTGCAAATAATCTTGATCTGTTTCAGAATTGTGTGTGCAAAACATGGGTTTTGGGATTTCGTGTGCAAGGGGAATCGATCAAAGAGAATAGATATGTAGAGGTGGATGATGCATCAATTGAACATTTTGAGGGGTCATTGACACAAAGACGTAACTCCATTTTGAGAAAAAGTGGTTTATGTGTCACTGAGCACTTGGGCCTTACGTAGTTAAGTCTATGTTTCACTAGCCATCGACTTCAATGGGGTGTTGGGTGGAGTCAAATCTTTGTGTTTCCTGGAAAGCCCACATTTTTCTGAACATTTTTATATCAAATACTCATTTCGGCAAAATATGGAGTTACGTCTTTATGTCACTGAACCCTCGATTTAAAAATGAACTCTTTGCAAGTCTTGCTGTTTGGGCTATTGTGTAGAGATGCTTGGTCAAGTTACAACTATGCATGTCTTCATGTTGATTGTGGCATCCCATTTGCTGTTTTGTACAGAGAAAACAGCATTGTTTAAAGGTCAAACTCGGAGAGAGAGAAGAGGAGATATTAGCCATATAGAAGAAAACACAATGTACATAGAGTTTTATACATTTCAAACATATTTATTGTAATAAACAAAAGAATGTTTTGTCCAGTAAAGAATATTTACAAGTAAAAAGTGACACTGACGTGTTATTGTAGCATAACTTATAATACCTACATGGTGTATATGTACAAGGTATAAAAAAGAAGTTATAGTGACGTGAAATCATGACAGATGTATAAAATAAGAGTTGATTGGTAAGGCAGAGTTAGTACTATTGAAATATTAAGTCTAATCTAAAAACATATTACATTTCAGTGTAAAAATAGAAAAATAGAAAATACAAGATGACTTATTGTAACCTACAAAACTAAATCTCTGATAGTTATTGTCTAATCAATCAGTACATGTATAAGTTACATGTATTGAACAATGTAAATCAAAAAAGCATTTATATTTCATACTCAAAATAAAAATGGATTTCATTTAATACAAAAATACAATGACGGAAATTTATTGGACATGATGTATAAGGATATGCCTTGTTTACAACTTATGTAAATATCAGTGTTTAATAGAGGAAATTAGAATAGCAATAAATATGACAAGTCTTTTCTAAATATTACTGATTGTCATTTGTGATTATTTCAGCTCACGGCCTATTATCAGTTTGTAATAACGAGGCTTCTAATTTGTAATGAAATATTTCAGAGTAATGAAATTCCAAAAATGAGTGTCTGTAATTCTGTATTGACCTACATGTAGGCATTTGTATCTGTGATTAAACACTAACCCTAAAGCCATATGTTTTGTAACATTTTAGAGCAAAAGGCCACATGGAAAGGTAGGATAAATACAATGCACAGGAAAAATATCTGCACCACAGTGTATAAGATCATGTAGGGAAATGCAGCTTTTTTAAAATGCAAGATATCAAAAATGAAAAACTTTGAGAGCCAAGCTGCTAACATGATAAAAACAGCAATTTTGCATTTTCATAGCAGTTAAAAGAAAGAACAGATAGTGTAATCGTCTTTCTGACTCCTTCATTTACAACATTCCACAAAGCGTTGGGATATTAGTGTAACATGAAAGGATTTAATTTGATAACAGACTTTACACACATCTCATTGCCCGTGAATAGTACAATAGTACAGAAGGCCAATTCAGATGGTGAATAACTTAGACAAATGAGCACAGCACAATGAAATGAGAAGGGGTAGGATATTCTTATTTTCTAAATCATAAGCGATTGTCTTTTAAGGCTATTTACCACACCTTTTCTGAATGGCACACATAATAATACTAGAAAATCTCTGCATTTTATGATAAATTTTCTTACAAGAAGAATGTCAGATATACTTTGGTGTTCATCCCTAGCATAATATGCTTTGATACGTACATCACACACTTGTTACAATCACAACAATATGCAACACTGTTGCCAAGTTTTGAACTTTTTACACATCACACATGATATTAACATTAACAAGACAGGGGGACTCTCTGGATTGGTACAGCCATTCATCATTGTAACGGTCCAATGATTTCCTTCCTTCAATTCAGAAGGAAAGTGCAACGAGTTGTGGTGCAGGTTTCCAGTCGTTCAGATTCATCACAGAATCTACTTCGGTTGTGTATTTCCTTCTCCTCTCCTTTGAATTAAAAGGTTCACTGTGCAAAGAAATAAACAGATGAATAATAAATTTTAAATATAAAATCCTGGAGAATTTTTTTCCTTCTGTATCTTTGAATTTTCTATCCTTAATCATTGCTGCTGTACATACATGTACATGTACTTCTGAACCGTTGCCTCTTTTTTTCAACAATTTTCCCCCTCCTATTTACTTTTTGAGATCACAAAACCCCAGATCTTCTTTCATATTTCTTTTTCATCATTTCAGCTCTACAATCCCTCTTGAACTGTAGATCCTATTCCAGTTTGTCTCACATTAGTCATACCACAAACTGTCAAAAATGCAATTTGGATTAAGATCCAATTTCCGGCTACTAATTCCATTTCTATTACTCTTGAAGAGAAAATTAGAGAATCAAATTATTTCCTCATAGTAACTGTTGCACAATATTTTACATATCACCAGAGAAAAAGAATATTACTCACCAGTATTCTGTTGGGAGTTCCTGGAGTGGAACGAACGTGTCCGGTCTTAATTTGATTGTGCCACTGTAAAGTATTAAGAATTGTTGATACAAGATGTTAGCATACTATGTTGGATATCACTCTAATACTCAAAATGCTTGTTAACCCTGACTTTCCCTATCACCACTCACCACCCCCCCCCCCCCCTTCTCAAAAGGTCAAATTAAAGCTTATTCTCCATCTTACACAATGTCATTCATGTATTTTTTCAAAGATATTTTACCATAGAATGATACAATCCTGTACATTAAAAGAATTTAAAGATTCTAGTACTAGTGTTTGGAATTATTAAGATTATACTTTCATAATTCATATCAGTTGTAATTTCAATGACACAACTAAAAGGCATCATCAATATACATGTACATTCTGACATTTACGTATTCATACATTCACAACATGGCATGAGTAGACAATGGTATCAATGCTAATAGAAACTTACCCAAAAGTTACGACTGGCCTTGTGGAACCAAAATGGTGGAAGTTTGAGGAATACTCTGGGGCTTGGTAGCTCTTATCGCCCCCTGAGGCAGCAGGAAATTCACCCCTTCTCTCCCATACAGAGGTCACTGTAACAAAGGGTTCATGAAGAATAAGATTGTCAATATGATTGACAATATGTCCCTACAGCATCATCATACACTGTAGTATATTTCAAAACATATTTTTATCATAATATATTTTAACATTTCTATAGGTAGCAATTTATGCAAAAGGATCTATTTCTTGCATTGTATATTGTTTCATCTGCAAATGTCGGAATACATTCACTATGAATATGATGGACAAAGAAAGCGGACAAAATATACAGTTCCTCATTCTACCCTCAACAATTGCTATGGTAGACAAAGGAATTACATCCCTTCACTGCTATTATGTAAAAATCTGTAGAACAGGTGTCACATGCATATTCACCTGTTCTGCATATTTTTACATAGTAGCAGTGAAGTGATGTAATTCCGTTGTCTACCATAACAATTGTTGAGGGTAGAATGAGGAACTGTATATTTTGTCCCCTTTCTTTGTGCGTCATGTTCATAGTGATTATGACACTATGAATATGGCGGACAAAGAAAGCGGACAAAATATACAGTTTCTCAGGTAGACAAAGGAACATCCCTTCACTGCTATTATGTAAAAATGTATAGAACAGGTGAATATGCATGTGACACCTGTTTCACACATTTTACATAAAAGCAGTAAGGGGATGTTCCTTTGTCTACCTGAGCAACTGTATATTTTGTCCGCTTTCATTGTCCGTCATGTTCATAGTGTGACATGCTTCAAACAGATTTTTTCCTCTTTTTTTTTCTTCAGAAAGTTTGTTTACCAACACATCTGTGCAATGTTATTTGTCAGTACTTCATT